TTTTAAAAGAAAAATAGTGCAGTGCAACTGTATTATTCTGTATCAATTAATAATTAACGGAGTTAGTAGTTGATTAAAATTAGGCGCTTGGGTGGGGTCTGGGGGTCCCTTTCGAAATGTAAGTGTTCGGAGGTACCAGGGAAGTACTCCAGCCTCGAGAAAGCGCCTTTGCTCGAGCAATATGCAGAAATCCGACTCTATCCATTCTTAGGAGTCACTAAAACCCTAGTCCCGGGTCTATGATAAACTGTAAGCACATTCGGAACCTGAAATGCCTATCGACAACACAGAGACTTGTATATGCCATCTAAAACGAGCGACGCGACGGGGGTAACCAAATATAGCAGCTGGAAGTCCCTTATTTTCCTAAAAAACAGGAAAAAGGGACAAATCGACAAGAATAAGTGCAAGAATGGCCCTGAGAAAACCGAATTCGCCCCGACCTTGAATTCGAATTTTCGAAGGACGCGACCCCCAACCCAGGGGAGCACAACCGAGTAGCGAAGCTACGACTTGTGAGAAACTTGTTTCGAACGCTGGCTGCTATACCCTTAGAGCAGAGCGAAGTGGAGTTTGGCCCTCGTCCGGGAGGCTACGGGCATATTAAAAACTCTTAAGGCATTCTCGTACATTCACAGTTTTTGAAGCTTTAAATTCAAGGAATTCAGAAAGACTGTTTAACAAAACTTTGAATTTAAAGAAACCAAATTAAATTGTTATCAACCCGTCTCGCCTTGAACATAATAAAATGGATAGATAGATAGATAAAAGTAACGTAATTGAATCTGGATCATAAAAATTGTTTGATAGTTGTGGATATATAGACAGAGATGTGAGTTAGTAGGAGTTAAGAGCAGCCCATGTTATTGTGATTGCATCAGAAAGATAAACTGATAAAGTAAAGAGGATAATACATACATACATACTCGTACCAAGTAACATGAATAAAGGGTAGAATCAAAGTATAAGTAATTTTTCCCTGAGCCTTGGGATTTTGTAGAATCCCGGAGATAAGGAACCATGTGGCTTATTTCCTACTGCAAAAACCATTTTTTTTTTGTTTCTTTTTTAAATTTTTATTCTGTTTTATTCATTTTATCTATTAATTATTATATTTTTTAAAATGTAATTCTGTATTTTATTATATTATCTCTGTTACGCTCGCTAGTGTCATAAAATTTGGTAGTTTTCTGAAAGTATGCATTTCAGTTTCATAAATAATTATTCCTCCAATAATATGCAGCAAATATTGTAGCTGGCTCTTAATTATTTTTGTTTCTGTAAAGGTTTAATTAAGTTGCAGCTAATAATGCGGTTATGCAAATGGCAGGTGATATTTTAAACGTTAAGATTTAGGCTAATATAACTTTCTAAGATATGCTTTTTATGCATATGTTGTAAGTTGCGAGTCTTGCGACCAAATCAATATTATTAGGTGAACCTCTTTTTGAAAGGAAATTTTGTATTTTTATCAACTTTAATTTGAGTGTTAACACGCCTATACCGTTAAGATTAGCATCATTTTTTAGACTTCTATGTATTTATAAAGAAAATAAAAACATTTTTAAGAGCTTAATGTAGGGTAGACGACTAGATGAGGGTAAAGGAGTAAAAGAAAGTAGATGGTGGTGGTAGACCAATAGTTGAGGTTGGAAAGGGTAGGAAAACTCTATAAAATAAACAAAATAATTTTTGATTCATCATCCCTAGCTTACATTTACAGTCTATTCAGTAGTTGATTATAATTTATAAATTATGTTAATGAATTATTGCCTTATTGAGATCGAATGAATTTAAGTGTAATCTAATAATTTAAGTAAACTTACATCCTAAATGTCTTTAATTAGTAATGAAATAGTTTCATGACTTTCATCCCAAACGTATGTTTCTTTTAATAAATGTCCAAAACCACTTAATAAATAGTCAATACCACCTCAATTCGTAACTAATGAAATTTTGCGAAGAAATAGAATTGATTTAGGGTGAGCAAGAATTATCGTGGACCTAAATATTGATATTTCTTACAAACTACATGTTCATTTTCATTACCACCATTTATTATCGATGACTTTAACATATCGATCATAAGGTCTTCAAAATGAACGTAAATCACTTATTCTCATTCAACCACCAATCGTAGCACGAGCACTAGTGTCCCACCACCGGTCCACTACATCCACCACGTCCCTTCTCTTTATATTGTCGTTTTACCTTGGTGGCTTCGTAGCTTGTTATTTACCCCCATTTATTGACAAAATGATAAAAATTAGGTAATCACCCTTGAAAAATTAAAGCACTACACTTGACAAGAAAAAGAGGAGAGGAAGCTCCTTTAATTTGTTATCATTCTTCCTTTGCTATGATGACATTGATTAGGTCATATATTTACTTTATATTATATCACCAAAATAAATGAAGAAAAAATGTAGGTCGATCGATTACCTTTTTATGTAACTTTAATTTGCAAATTGTTCATGTGGGGTGTTTAGATGCGAATGATTAGACCGTCTACTTTACTACTCTCTAGATCAACACATTTACTAATCTTGTATAGTGGAGTTTTAGAGAGTCCATCACAATCAATACTTGCCTCCTCTTGTCAGCATCTTATTATGTTAAGTTCTTGCAACAGAAAGAAAAAAAAAAGTACGAATTATAAAACAGTAAACAATTGTTTTTAATGGTAGAGGGTTTATTGAATTTTATATGTAGTATTATTGAATTATTATTATTATTGAAAATGTTTATTATGTATGTCCTCTAAAATATGTCATACCTACTCATGCGACTCTTTTTGATTCCTTTGTTGTGACTCTTGTGAGTAAATTCTCGATACCGATACAAAGTCGAACTGAACTTAAAAAATCAGGTTTGAATTGGAATAATTTTTTTAAAAAATTTATGGGTCTACAAAAAAATAAATAAATTATCTTTCGATTCAAGACTAGTTTTTTAATTAAGACCGTACGTATGGGATAAAGTCATATGTTTGCAAAGATTCACGAAAGTGGTGATTATAAGACGGAATTACACAAATATTATTATCAATCCAATTGTTTCAATTTTAGGCTTGTGCACAACCCTGGCCTGTTGGTAAGTTGTGACACACCAGTCAAGTGTGAGTGTGTGTTTTTGCTAGAAGTAGGCTTTTTCTACCCAAAAAAAATTAAGGCAAGAAAAAAAGAAAATATTAGGATTCCCTAATCAGAAGGGGATGAGTTGGCTAGGCCTGATTTGCAACACATAAAATTAGTTACTTATTCGGAATTGTAATTTATAAAGTCCCTAGCATATTTTTTTCTTCCTTAATTTGGCGACCACAATTAAAAAACATATGATCGCAAATTATATATAATATATAGACATATTATATTGATTAATTTGCGCAGTTGACTTTTATGTAAATGAAAGCGACTAAGTATTTACCCTATTGTATACTCGTATATGTATACATCCGATGTATACAAGAGTATTATGTTAGGGTTGTTAGAGAGCGATGGGGTTAATGATTACATGATTAGACAATCTACTTAATTAACATTATTAATTTAGTCATCATATTGGGGGGAGACATCAATTGGAGTAGATCGAGTAGAGTGGCGCCTTCACAGTCGTTGAAATATGCCCATGCTGGTCAATAATAATATAATTATACGAACATGAACGAACAAAAGTACATGACGCATAATTTATAAAATTCATTTTAGTTTAAGGCTTGTTTATATAAGATGCATTATCACCATTAATTATGTACATTCAAAGTCAAGATTGTGATGATATTAGGTGCTTACTGTCTCCAATGTTATTGATATTGGACAGCTTGCCTCCTATTTTTTTTTTTTTTGTTAGTATTTTTGTGTTTTTTTGGGACAGCTTGCCTATTTTTACAGAAAATGTTATGGCGGATCATCATTTAAAATCAAGATTTAAAAAGGCGATAATATTTTGAGGGAAATAGTTCATACAAACTAATTCCGTGCATGATTAACTTAGTATTCTAACTTGTCCGAGATGGGCTACAATATTACCTACTTGTTTAACATGAACAGCGTGCGGCTTGCCTAGTTTGAATTGAAGAGATGGTAAGACAAGAAAAAAGAAAAGGGTGAGAGAAAGACAGTGGAAAGAAAGAAGAAGAAAGAATTGAGATGCTTTGCATCTTCCTCACTATTTAGAAATCATTAATGTTGCGTAAGTCTTTATCTCATTCCTTTTTTAGTGGGTGATTGATAAAATATCTCCCTATACTATGACTACATAAGTCATGAACAAGTCGGCCAACATCATATGCTACTAAGAATATTATTTAGAAATTAATATATCATCATAATAAGTTAAAACAAGTCGGCCAATAGTTCTTGAGAAATTGGCAGAAAATAACTTTATTTTTACCCATATAAAATAATCCCAACTATATTCATAAAATTACAAAAGTAGTCTATTCTTAATATGTACTAGATCAATTTCTTGGTAATGATATTACTTTGTGACGATATAAGGGTCCACTTCAGCGACTCATGATAATATCTTCTTGATTAGTTTAGCTAAGCCTATATCAAGTTGATTTTGTTATTCACTTGTTTTTTTGGGTTGCAAAAATAAGATCAGCCCTGCTTGGAGCTGAATCGAATATCGATCATTCGATTCCGTGCCTTGGATGTACATCTTCATTAGCAAAAAGGATCCTAGGGAGCAAAAGTTGTTCACTGCGCCATGCCATATCTGAAGCTCATATGACAGCGTCAAGCTCGGCTTGATGGCTTCTATGCTGGTTGTTGCTTCTTTGAACCAAGGGTCATCCTGTGCAAGTCGTTTTTCTGCATGACCCAAACTTATTTTGCACTATAGTGCTTGAGACTGTCTACTTCAAAATGAAGCTGATGTTGGGCTGCTGCTGCCCCCCTATCGAGTAAAAGACATCGGGCTTATGGCATCAGGAACATGTTCACTTTTCTATGGCCCAACTGGCTTGGGCTTGGGCTTGGCCTAATGAGTAGTGCTTCAGAAACATGAATTAGTGAAGGAATAATGGAAGCCCAAATGATAAATCAGGCAAGTCAATTACAAGATTTCATAGAACTATGACAGTCAAAAATTTTACAAATTCCTGTAGTGATGCACAGAAAAAATGCATTACTCAGAAAGTGATATACTTGCTCGATGAAGAAGAAACAATACTCGGATTACCTAGATATTAGTATCTAATGTTTTTGGCAACCTCAAAGAAATGAGCGACATTCTCTTCCGGCGTACCTACAACAATTCCATGACCAAGATTTAAAATGTGCTTTCTATTCCCGGCTTTTTTCACTGTATCCATTATCCGACTTGTTATAAATTCTTTTGAGCCAAAAAGCACACCGGGATCCACATTGCCTTGCACTGCAATATCAGATCCCAACCGCCTCCTACCTTCAGCCATGTCGACTGTCCAATCCAAGCTCACAACATCAACGCCTGTTAGGGGAAGCCGCTCTAGCAACCCACCAGAGCCACTAGCATAAAGTATGATAGGCAGATTTGGATGGGTCAGTTTCACAGAATCAACTATCTGCTTCAAGTATGGTAAACTGAACTCTTCAAAGTCTACTGGGCTGAGTTCAGTTGCCCAAGAGTCAAAGATCTGAACTGCTTGTGCACCATGATCAGCTTGATACTTGACATACTTTGCCATAGATGTTGCGAACTTTTGAAGGAGAGCGTGCAAAACCTATAGCAGCAATATTTAGTGGTCAGACAAAACAGAGATTTTGTTCCTCCTGCACACTTACATAAAAACTACAAGCTAATTTGGAATGCATATTAATATTACCTTAGGTTCAGAAAAAGCCAGTCTCTTAATTTTGCTGAAGTGTTTTGATGAACCACCTTCAACTACATATGATGCCAGCGTAAAAGGAGCCCCAACAAAACCAAGAACAGCAGCCTCATTGCCCACCTGAGGAAGAGAATTTACAAATAAATATGCTGGAAAATGGTAGATATATATATATTAATGATGTGTAATTAGAATGCCATGTTACATCATATTTGTTCAACAAGTCTGTCAATACTTAAAAGAAAATTGCAAGTCAGATATTAATTGCATCTTCAAATTAGCTTCCTGAATCTCTAGCCTCTGTGCGCACTTGCTAACTATTTTCTATTACATTTCCATGTTTAATGGGCTAGAAAATGCAGCTTGTTCATTATGAGGTCAATAGTCAATACATCAGTATAAGTGAAATGCCAGTTGTTTAATTTTACTCGATTCACAATTTCACAACTACATCCAAGCCATAACGGTTTCTAGATCTCAGCTGCCAGGAGGGTGGGGGCGATTTGAAAGGTTATGAATCGATTAAAATGTTATATTGCTAGTTCAATTTACGTTTCATAGTGATAGTAATTTCCAAACAGAAAGCAATGGTGATGATTATGGATGGGACAGAGCATGGCACTATAGTATGATGTCGTTAACAGCCAAAGGTGCACTCACAAACAAAGGAGATAGAGAGTATGGATGGGACAGAATATGGCACTATAGTATCACATCGTTGACAGCCAAAGGTGCACTCACAAACAAAGGAGATAGATGCTAGGAGTCTGACACTAGAATACAGTCTTGCACGTACAAGTCTAAGGAATGATAATTATAACTGTCAAAGGGAAAATTGGACATCTTAGAGAGGAGCAGAGGACGATAACTTCAACATACATTTATATGACTAAAGGCAGCTAAAGCCCCCTCCCTAATGCTCAAAGAAAATATATAAAAAAAAAAGAAGTTTGCCACTCATCTTCACAAGGGTTCTACCCACAAAATCAAAGAAATATTCTAAGAAATTTGGTTTCCCTGTGTTTATAAAAAGGTTATATCATCATGAGTTGCCATATGCCCATACGAAGGGTTTAATAGATTACAATGCTTAAAAATTAGAGCATAAATGAAATGTGATTAAATATAAACAAAACAAAATGAACATAAGAGCAGTGAGGAACATGCAATACCTCCTTCCGCAAAATGGTTAAGGCTTCTCCAACATATGGAACTGACTCCTCAGGAACAAACTCTCTAACTACATCAACATCATTCTGAGTGGATAGAGGATCGAATATGACAGGACCCTTTCCTTTCACAATGTCAAATGGTATATTCATTCCTGCTAATGGGGTCAAAATGTCTGAAAACAATATAACCTGCCAACACAGAAGATTAGCCATCAGAATATAAGCAAAAGCACATCAGGTATACTGTCTAGACAAAGGTTTTAGAAAGTGGCAGAGATGTCTATCTGTAGAAGGTGGACACTAATATTAGCAGGAACTTACTCCATCAGGCTTGAAAACTTTCCATGGTTGCAAGGATATTTCTACAACTAGATCAACATTTTCTGATCTTTCACGAAATGAAGGATGCTTCTCACATATAGCTTGGTAGCTCTGAAAACACAAAGTAAGAAAACTGGTCATATATTAAGTATACATTAGATTATTCAGCAACAGTCCACATCACATAGCATGAGGAACTTAAGAAAACATAAAATATATAATTCAATCCCAGTGGATAGATTTCTCTTCTGGTGTCGATTAATAGTTTTTTTAGGCCATACAACCTTTAAATTACCTAGTACATGATTTTACATAACAAGATATTACTTTTTGAAAGAACTTAAAACCACTTATGACGTACCCTTATGAGGAACATGGCCTAGAACTTTTTGTTAAGTAAAAATAATGTGAAGAGAAAAGGGTAGAACTTTTTCATTTGAGGATTATATAGAAAACAATGCTCTGAAGCCACTATATTTTTGACAGTTTCCTGCTCCTAACTGAAGGCTCTACTGCCTTTGACCTTCCTAAGAAGTGGATCTTATCATGCATGAGTGACATTTACAGCATTTTGTCCTTATGTAGTGTACATGTTACAAGCTTAAGGCAGCATTAGAGGTTTGCGTCATCTGCTCAAGTAGGAAGACAAATTTAAATTACACCCAGACATTAAAGTTCAATGATTTTCATGCTAGGAACCCATGAATCCCATGATAAGTTGATAAATAATAATCTTTCTCATGCATACACGTAACTATACAAACAAAATTTTCAGGCATGGAACTCCGATGCAGCTACATAAATTCAAAGGCAAAATTCCCAGATCCAAACAATTGGATACCTGACTAATAAGAATTTCGACAGCCATAAGAAAAAATGACAATCCAGATTCAATCAACAAAAAAACAAAAACAGCAACTAATTAGAACACATCCAACAAAACAAAGGCATGGTAATAAACCTGCCTTCATGTATCTCCCAGCTTGCCTCATCAGCCAAACTGGGGGCCTTTCAACATCCAATCCTTTCACAGCATTTAGCAACAAGGGTTCAGCTGTAATTGCCCCCTTTGATTCTGCTACTAAACCTAAACAGCACATCAACAATAACAACAACAACAACAACAATGTCAAAGCCTTAATCTCAGAAGGACGGTCCACTGCATGAACCAATAGTCTAATTTTTAGTGTTCATCAACAAAGATCCACTAAACCTTTTTTTTTTTTTTTTTTTTTTGACACACTAAACCTAAATTCAATATCACTAAAAAATGATCAACCAAATCATGGCAAAATTCAGTAAATTACCCACTGTAAACTAGAAGCATAATTCAGCAAATATATATACAAAACTCTCAGTTGCAAAATTCCACATTAGAAAAAAACTAATCTTTTACTGAAATTTACCCCAATGAGAAATCAACAATTACCCAAAATCCCAAAAAGTCAAAATGTCCGATTTAACAACAAAAAATTAATACCCATATAAAATTTGCCTGAATTATGTCAAATGTAATCAATTGAATTAAGAGATTTAAAGAAATTACCTCCAGCAGAGCATTGAATCGAAGAGGGTTTGGAATTTGATGAAGATTGAAGTCTTGATTGGGAAATTGAATGAGCAGAGAAGGAAGATATAGAACAGCTGCCACCATAAATGCACGACATTTTAGAATTCTGGGATGAATAATTTAGCAAAAAAATTCCAGAAATTTTCTGGGTATAAAGCTTCAGTTCATCACAGTTATGTTGGGAAAGTCTCCGTCTTGTTAGTTTGAAGGGAGAATCAATCCGGAAAGATAAGGTAAAACAAATAGTTGGATTGTTACCATATCGGTATAGATAATGAATAGTTGAATCCATATGCGAAAGATCCGGATCCGTTAAGAAATCTGGGTCCGGTTAAACTACGAGGGATCTAACATATGTGGATAGCATTTACAAATTACAAACACAAAGTTTTTCAGCATTTGGACCCTTAGTAGAGTAGCATTGATACTTTTGAGGTTTGTCTAAGATAATTGGATGTTGAAATTATCGTGATTACATTATTTCACACCTAAAAATTGACAAAATTTTCATGTCAAACAGTTGGATATCGGTTCTTTGTTGTAATATGGTAATATTTCTTGAGTAGGTTATGTTATGTTTAACAACACAAAAGCATAATCTAAAATATCTTTAATTTATTGTATTTTAAAGAGAATATACTTATATTGTTGTCGACTATATTCAAAATGAAGTTAATGTAGTAAACCATGCTACGCATATCGTTTACATCTCTAAAAAAAATGATAGTTCCTCAGTACATTTCTCGACTCTTATCAAAGAAGAAGCAAATTTTAAGAGTGATGTTTCTAATACTTATAAAGTTATAATAGCTATATGTAAGAAATATAAATGCTAAAAGCTTTGTACTCCTTTATTCCCAAAGTTTATAATACTTGTATTTTGTTACAAGTTCTTGTATTTCTGTTAGAATGAGCATTAAAGTTACTGTATCTTAGATTTTGGTTAAATCTGGTGTTATCATAGCTAGAAATTCAGTTCAATGTCACAAAAGCAATAGAACTTGGATATGCCAATCTTAGTAAAATCATGATGTTATGATTCTCAGCAGCAAATCTCATCTTATCCAATTACAAGGTTTTTCATTGGATGTCACAATTACTCTTCATCAAACTACCCTACACCCCATCACACAAACAACACATACCACCAGCCCCACTCTAAGTAATTCTAGATGTCCACAAATTGACAAAATAAAATTTCAACTTCACTGAAAATACAAGTATTAAAACTTGAAAGCTTTGTCCCTAAATGGATCAGCAGGTAGGTTATGGTAATTCAAATTTATGATTGAATCGATTTCTTGTTAATCTTCAAGTCATAAAAAATTTTAGGCCAAAAAATCATGTTAAAAATCCTTAATTTTAGACAATTTGGAGTCCATGCTTGAATTTGAGTCCTTTTTTTTAGCGAGAAAATGCTAAATTCTAGTATCAAATTTTGAAGCTGTCCGAGAACAGATCAATAGATTTTGGAACATCGCATCTAAACAAGACTACATTGCTAAAACTTGTAATGTACATTGAACAACAAAGTATATACATGCATTCTACAACATACAAGACTTGAATGAGAGAAGGATGGGGAGAGACTATGCTTCTTAAAAGACAACAGAAGATTAAACAGAATGAGACAGGTGACTACTCAAAAAATGGTATCAGTAGTAAGCTTTCTTTTTGGAGGACTTTTCTCTATAATCTGTTTCTGTAAATCCATGAAATTAGAACCCTTGTGTGCAAATAATCTCCGCAGATTTATGACCGAGAGCTCACTGAAGTTGGCTACTGCAAGATCAGCCTGCACCAAGTCATACCTGCAAACACCAATATTAGTCACTGAATTCATTCTCCAAGCAAGCACATCTAACTCCAACCCTCCAATTAACCTTGCCGTGCCTGTGTTGGACACGTATTTACCACTTTAAATGGATATGATAACTCAGATACTTATAAAGAGTCTGATTTATGTGAGGAGTCCAAGTAACATAGTAGTCCATAAAGGCATGGCCTCCAAATCAATAATTTATGATTAATTATAGTGGAGATTTATGCAAATGCTGAGAAGTGTAAATTATTTATGCTCATTTGAAGACTAGACACCCACAGCTGAAAAATAATAGAACTAATACTCTGATCAAATTTAGTGTATACATTCTATAGAATCTTTCATGATACTTACGCAGGGTGAGCACCAATAAGAGCTACAGCCATCATTGTACAGTTATGAGCAGCTGTCACACCTCTTGGGTCATCCTCAAAGACGATACACTTTGAAGGTTTCCTATCCAACTGCAAGAAAAATTATTAGCAGGATTAATTAACAGACACTGAATATATAGCAATTGCAGACAACAAAATTTCATTGTGCTATAGGCTAAAATAATCATAACCTTGTATCTTGTCTTAAAATTACTTATGAAAGGAAGTGCTAGTAAAAGTTGAAAAGGGCCAATATATCTCAAAAGATGAAATAATTCATTCAATGAGATCAAATAAGTTGTACTCAGTCCTGTAGACCGGGTATCTATGAGCTAGAAGTAGAGAAAAATCAGGTAATTGTATGGTAACCTCACCACCATAAAGGTCAAGATTTCAATTGCAGTCATCAACAAGATTTGAAAAAGTAAAGCAGACAAAGGATATTAACAGAGTTTCTCTGTACACTGTACAGAGAGTTCCTACCTTTACAGCCGCAGAGAGAAATCTATGGGCCATTGCCTCCATGCCGTCTTCTTCACTCACTATGGCCTGCAATGTGAAAATATATCAGTTGGAAGACAACTTCCTTAAACAACCGCAACTATTTAGTAAATGACGAAAAAGATGCCACCAGAAGGTCCAGAATATTATATGAGAGAAATAAAACTCATCACTGGGACAAGTTCAATATGCACTCCCAAAATCTCAACTTTATCCCAGCAGGCCTCACTTGGAAGGATGAGTAACACTACTACCTTCATCTTTCTCGTTCTTCTGCCCTGTGCCCCCCCTCTCGTTGAAGCAAATACAGTAAGAACCGTCACCACTCACCACACTGTTGCTTTTCATTATTACAGTACAATAATCACCGACACAAACAAAATCAACCAGGTACCTGAAAGTATTTCTTGATTCCCATCCTATCTAGAGCTTCAACCATGATTCTTCTGTCAAGATTTGAAACAATTGCACAAGGTATACGAGCTGTTGACACTGCCTCCAGCCATTCTTCAACACCTTCCAAAGGTCTATCAAGCTGAGAACATGGTAAAAAAATGAATATCTAGACTAGAGAAGAATCCCCACCCCACCAAAAAAAAAAAAAAAAAAAAAAAAAAAAGCGAAAAAACTCACCTTGAGAAGATTCTCATAATACAAATGTGAAAGTCGCATCTTTAGCAAATATACATCAGTTTCTGATTTCTCCCACTGCAAAACCTAAAAGGTTTGAGAAGGTTAGTGTTTTACACATCAGTTGGACTCTGCACAATTTGCATTCTCCAAGAAAACATAGAAATAACTTGTATCTCCTCTTCCCAACTCAGGTAAGTAAACAAATGGCACGAGTGTGGTTTGAACATTAACAAGACAGCACAATAGTATCTTTATACAAAATTAAGTTTCCTTCAATCTAAGCTTGTCTTAAAGAGTGTAGCAAAATAAGCATTTGTCATACACAACAAAAAAACAATCAAGCCCAACAGAACAGCACCAAGTACTAAATAAAGGCCAAAGAACTGAAAGAAGTATATAAACAAAACACCACAGGAGACGTTTCTGAGATGTGCATGTGTGTATGAGGAAGACTCGTGGTTCAAAATGTTGTGACAACCTCAGTTTTGAGATGTTTCAAAGAACGGAACTTTTAAATATTCAGGGAGATATTTTTTCAAATTCCAAAAAATCAGAACATGGAGATGCCTGGATGTATACATATCAATTAATCAATGACAAAACCAGTAGGATCCTCCAAGGTCAACTAGAAGATTGACAGGCTATCTGCAAAAACTCAAAAGACAGAAACTAGTCACCCAATCACTCATAAACAAGTTATTTAACTAGTTATTTTGAAATTAATTGTCAGGCAAGTTTTCTAGCCATATCCTATCTCCTTTCAAAGGGAAAAAAATGTTCCACAAAAATAAGCATAACTTTGTCGCTGGCTTTACTTATTCAGTAATTAACTTGAAATTAATAGTCTTTGGACATCTGATAATTGAAAAACAATATCATGATCCATGTAAGTGCATCATAAGCACCATCTATATAGAAATTTTCATTGATTGTAAACCTCAGACCTTATTAAGCACATGATCAGGACCTGAGTAAAGCATCAGCCTTTGAGTACCAGCATCCTCGGGAATTTCTTTTCCTGCAAAGAAGAAAAACACAGAAAAAGAGACCAATTAGAATAGCACCAAATAAATGTAAGATCAGTGATAGAATCTATTTTCTTCCTCTACCTTAAACTCTTCAACAACAAATTGAAGCATAGATATTTTTTAATTCCTATGGAATCAATCTCCACAATAGGTGAAGCATAGATATACATCATACTAATTAGAAACAAATCAGGCAAATTAAAATTATCTTACCATGTATAGTATTCAGCACTCAGAGGTTCTAGGTTAACATCAAGCATACAAGTAAGGATTTCTCACATGAGATAAATACATACCCTCTTCAGAAGCAAGCTGTTTCCAAGCATTCAACTTCAATGCTCGAGTATCTGCCTGTAACATATTGAATACACTTTAGTTTGGCAAAAAATTGAATCAAGGTAGAATATGATGTGAAATTGTATCTACCACAATCAGTTGTATCACAACGTTATGAAATCGCATAAATGGGCAAATTAAGTGGAAAGAAGAAAGGAGATAAGATATTACAGAGTAGATAATACAAGCATTTGAGAGGCTTGTTCTCTCCCAAAGTGTAAGACAAAATTAACAGAAACACTAAACCAAATTCTTCCTGATTTTTCTCTCACTGATCTCCTCTTTATATAGAATTTCTCTGTACTAGATAATACAAGCATTTGAGGGGCTTGTTCTCTCCCAAAGTGTAAAACAAAATTAACAGAGACACTCAATTAAATTCTTCCTGAATTTTCTCTCACTGATCCCTTTATATATAATTTATCCGTGTAATTAATTGACTTCCTTCCTCTTGAAGCTAATGCTAACAATATACTTCATATTATGCATTGGCGCATTGCCTTCATTATTCTTCCCCAGTAGACCAGTCTATTACACATAACTTCATCCCAAGATGAATAGCCA